ATTTCCCTTCAGTGGTAAAATTCCATATAAATATTCAATGCTAAAACAGGCACAGTAAAGACATTTACTGTACATTTTTCTACGACCGACCAACGGACCACGAGTGCCCCTGTTGGTCAACCAATCACGTACCGCGGTATTTTGCGTCATCGCGCGTCACGATGCGAGACGCCATAGCCAATTACCTCCGGTACGTGTCTGTACCACACACTTTGAATGGCTGCATCTGTAGTACTTGGTCTTCCCAAGAATGGTTATAGACAGCTTCAAAATTAAACACAAATTTATAGGTTCAGCAAAACACTCCAGCACTTAAAATGCTGGGGTTCATGACTTCACAACAAAATCTCCTACCCCCCAAGTATCGTACATACACAGTTACTCAGAAACAGATCATCTCGTAAACCACTGCAGTCTGGTTTACTGTAGCTGATGGTTCACAGCAAGGCTGCAAATACAAGCATGATGGAGTCTAAGCAGGGATATTAACTACAGGGCAGAAACAACACAAAGTCAACACAAGTGCGCACAGCAATACTCAGCATCCCCTCTGCTTAATTAATGTCATTTTCCTGTCTGTAATAACACCACAGCAACTAAGTATCACAATACCTTTACTATACAGTCAACAATTCTGGAATCTGCTTTTCTAAAGGAAGCCCTTTGAATAACTGTTTGAGAGAGGTAGTAGGTTTGCTTGTCCAGAGACACCAAGCATATTGAAAACATGATCTTATCACACAGGACCAGCACTCGTCATGTTAAACTAAATAGCAAAAACGTTATCTGTAGGTTAAACAATAAGGCAAAGAGATTAACGTTTTATTCATAAGCATTAACTACAAGCACCAACATAAAGGACACTGCTCACCCCTCTACATTGAGAGGCTGAATCTACCATGGTATATTTATCAGAGTTAAATATGAAACAGCGATAAAGTGAAAACAGAGGACTGTGGCTGATAAGTAATAATCCTACATTGCATTATTCATCAGAAAGTTGCAAGAATATGTTGCCACCTCATCAAGTAGTCAGGGCAGTTGCCTGTACTGTGGACCAAACAGCAAAAAATTACTCATCATTCTCTTTTAAGAACTAAACAAGCACTCAGGGATCGGTTAGGTTCCTTGACCTTTGGGCAAGGTATTTCACATTAGTAGTGTGTTTTCCTCCATCACTGTTCTTTCTTTCCATTTTAAATTACTTCTTAAGTATTTCTGAAGTATTTAAGTATTTCTGTATTTCTTTTTTTTTGCATTAGAATACCTTCTGAATCCATAAAACCAACTGGAGGTTCTCTGAGACTCTGGAGGAAGGATGTACAAATTTAACTGACATTTAGACACTAAACAGGGCCGCAACATCAGCATACATGGTTTCTCATATTGGCTAAGTCATTAGATTGTGCTCAGTCATGACATAGTTTAATACCTCACAGCTCCAGTGGTCCAATATGTCTTAAGAGCATCTTTTTGTGTAGATGTTATCACTGCATTTGCAAGGGTTTGTTGGTTTTAAGGTAATTTCAAAACTGAAGGAGTTTATTCTTAGGACACCCTGTACTGACACTGAGACTACAGAGAGAAAAAAACAGTCACACTAATGAATCTTGTTTTCCTTCTGAGCTAGGCCGCCAGTACCGGAGGATATGGAAAGTTTGAAGTGCTTCAGAGAGCCCTCACTTCCCTGACTTACAGCGCCCTCTGTCTGCCGGAGGACATTGCCGCTCGTGGGGTTGAAGGAATACCCAACTACCACTACCGCAATGACGGCCTTAAACAGTGGGCTGTGATCAACAGGTGGGACTTCCAGGAGTCTTCACAGCAAGCATGTGAGGACTCAAGTCCAGTCTTCATTCATTTGTACTCTTTGTCTAAGGTAGCCAAAGTGATCGTGTTCACACTGCCTCTCATTAATCATGACTTTCTCAGAGTCTAGACAGTAAGAAATTAACATATTGATGATGATGATGAGAAACACAGTTATGCATTTACACAACATTCCCAAACCATATGGAGTTCACGTCATGAAAGAAGTAGGGATTTTGTAATACTTGAAATTATTAAGAGGGAACACCTTGGAATTTCTCTAGCGATAGGTATGAGCTGTACTTAAAAATAACTGAAAATGTTTAATTTGAGTTTGGAAAAAGACAATACTGTATAAAAAAATCTATTTTAATGACTAAAACTCATTTGCACCACTTATTCCTTAAGTAAACAAATGGTTTGATAATTTGAGACCTGTGTTGAGTGAATACTGTTCTACTGGATATGATGCTGGACATAATCTACATCTTTGCAAACACAGGCAACAACTATCCATGTCATTAAAACTTTAACTTTTTCTTAAAATGAAAAGTAACAGGAATTGGGGATAAAAGTACAAACTGACTAAATATTTTTGACTGGGTACAACAATGCATTATGACTTATCCCCCATTTCTTAAAGAAATAGTAAGTACTCACGAGCAGTAGCAAATTAGCAATTGTATTAATTAGATATCACAATATCAAAGTTCTGAAAATATGTTTAAGTTACAATTATTTTGTCTCATTGAATGTAAGACTTTACAGCACATCCTGCAAAACAGTTTCCCTTCCTCCTGCTGTGTTGAGTGAGTTTCTTAGCTGCTGTGGTTGCTTGTCAGGTTTGTGGATGGCATGGTGAAACATTACTACCCAGCAGACAAAGATGTCCTGGAGGACACTGAGCTGCAGGCCTGGATAGAGGATATCTTCACCAACGGGTTCTTAGGAAGGCAAGAGTCAGGTAGGTCACCAACACTAACAATTAAGAATTTTGCAGTGAATGTCCTGTATTTCACCTTGGGCTTCAAAGATTTAAGGGCATTATATACAAATGAATTACATTTCACTCTGAACAGAATTTTGCATGTGTGGCTGTGCTATGAACTAGGCGTTTTGCTGAAGAATACAAGGACAAAAAAATAGTTTTTACCCAAAAATAGTAAATGAAACAAGAAATGAAAATGTCAGCAACTATGATGGTGTAAACGGAACTGAAACTATTCCTGATGGATGTATTTTATGAGGTTGGAAAATTCCGTTTTCTCCAATTTATCCCCATGGAAAGAGTGTGATCGATCTGCTCTGGCATACCGATTTCAGCACTTCTCTGTTTAGGGAAGATCGATAGCTGGCTCTTGTGTTGCTTTAGATGTTAGTGAAACAGCAGCTTCAATTAAGCTCTGTTTTGGTCTAATAATCATATTTCATGAAAAGATCACATTTTATGTTATATAAAATATAAAAACTAGCAGCCTAGCTACTAGTGATGTGTGGGTCGACTCACAACCGTGAGCCAGGCAGGCTTGGGTAAAAAAAAATGAGACTTCAGATCGGGTCAGACGTGCGCGGGTTCGTTTCTCACCACCGCGGGTGGGTGCGGGTCTAAAACAAGCCGACCTGCGCGTCACTACTAGCCACCATTTTAAAATGTAATGTGGCTGTTAGTTTTTTTTTCTGAAAAGGGTTTGTGTTACAAATGAAAGCAATGTTAATGAATACTGTCTGTGGTCGTCAGACAAATCGGCACAGTATTAAATGTTTATTAACCCACGATTGCTTTCCTGCACTAATTCTCTCTCATCTGTCAGCTGCTGCTTATTTCTACCTTAAGCAGTGAGTGTAACAAATAACTGATCCTTATAAAATAAATTCTTATAAAAAAAGATTTTTTTTTCTAAAAACATGTCACAATTATTGGCACCCCTACATTTTTTTCATTCCATTTATTTTAAATACATTTTTCCCTTTTCATGGTAACAATAAATGACAAAGTAACAATAAATGACACCTGTGTTTTTGAGAAATCTTTAAAAAAAATTTATAAGGATATTGTTTTCCTTTGATTAATTTGACCTCACTGAAAGGTTAGTTTTCGGTCATATTTTCATTGTAAGATCAAACTGATAAACAACAAAGACACTTTTTCATAGCCTTTTTTGCTCATCTTTACCAAGGATGCCAATAATTCTGGAGGGCACTGCACATCACTGTTAATCCACATACCTATGCATATAAATTGTAAAAATTCAATGACAGCTTTAGAAAATGCTACGATGTTATCTTGATGCTGAAGAACTGATATACAGGTTAGAAAATTAGTGGAGAAAAAAATCATAGCCCTGCTATTATGCTATCAGTGAACACTGTTGATGCCTGTGAGAGGAGAGCATATATCTCATCATCATACACAGGTCCTAATTCTCCCATGGCTATACAGAGGCTGTAACCACCTGATAACTTAATTTATATTTTATGTTTCCACTAAGAAATACATCAGCACTACTAGTATTACATTAGTGTTGTCACCATGTTCTATTTTATGTAACTACATTTCTGACAGGTATCCCAGGAACTTTCCTCACTGTTCAGGAACTAACGAAGTTTCTCACCATGGTCATATTCACCTGCTCGGTGCAACACAGCGCAGTCAACAGTGGACAGGTGAGCTCTGCTCTACTGACTGGAAAAGTCCATTATTCATTTAAAATACCTTTTTCTTTCCAGTTGAATCGTGCCTTATCGATCACTTCAACCCCTGGAGTGCAGCCAGGCACGTCGTTTGTTCATGCAATACAAAGCAGAACATGGCACATTTTAAAAAGGCTTAAAAATGGGGTTCTGATTCAGGCTTGTAAACTACTGGAAAATGCATTCCTGCAAATCACTGAGAGTGGTTCTTGCGATGCTACATTATCTTCTGTTTAAATATCCTGTATATGTTGTGCTTGGAACATTTTTGTTAATATCTTTATAATACAATAAGAACTGAAAATGTATCACTTAATGGAAGTAATATACTGCACTATTCCATATGTTCACATATGGATAAAAAGTAACTTTTCTGTTTGATTTATCACTGATTATGGGATAGACAGCATTATCATAAAATGAAGTACTCAAAGTTCACTCCAAACATTAATTGATTTTAAACACATGGTTCTCCCGTCTGCCTCTCCTACTGCCCACGGATCATCATAAATCACTGTTCAGTCTCCTTCAGAGACTTTCAACTTAGCAGGATATCAAATTTGGGTCTTCACATTTTTCTCCTCATGCTCGAACAAATTCATTTTTGTTAAAGAGATTCATTCTTTCATTTCACTGTAAAGTCTTGATTGAAGTAAATTCTAAACCCTTTATAATAAATTTCTTGTTCTATGCAGTTTTTGAGACCTTTGTTTAGAAAAACATCAATTTATTTAATGTGATATTTCATCTCGTCACAACCAGAAGGCCAAAACATTTGTTTTTGTCTGCTTCTGATCTTTAATATTTATCTTAAAAAACTGGATACTCCTACCTGAGAGTAATCTGCCCATTCAGATAGATTTGCAACTGTTAAGTTCAAGGCAGTATTCCTCTATGTTTCAGAATTTGAACCACTGAGGTATAGCAGGCTGGTTCTTCTACCATCTCCTAATGTGCCTCTAGCAGAAGTCACTAACTCAATCCGAGTTCTTTGTTAAAAAAAACACTCTGTATCAGTGGTTTGGGGATCCTTTGGGGTTTCTGACACACCAGATGTTTGTTTGGCCAGCAGTACCACTTCCTCAGCTAAGACAGCTTCATTAAAAGAATGAAGTACAGTATTCCTTTATGTTTGCCTGTTAATTACATCATTATTAGTATCTGACTACAGAAAACTGAATTAAGTCAGAAAATAAGGGAAAACAGAAATTGTACTACTTGTACCATCCCAAAATGTAATGTACTCAAAACACTGGGGTTAACACCTCTAGTTTTAGACAGACATTTGACCTACTACGGTACTTGGTTCAGTGTCTCAGAAATTGTGGTGTCACAAATACCACTTAGTGTCCACCAATACCACTTACAGCAGCGCCATGCTTTTCTATAGAGAAACCATCCCAGAACAGACAAGGCCTAATCTTGCTTAACGTTTGGAGATATTATTATTATTATTAATAATAATAATTGCTTACACTTATATTGCGCTTTTCTGGACACTCCACTCAAAGCACTTTACAGGTAATGGGGACTCCCCTCCACCACTACCAATGTGCAGCATCCACCTGGGTGATGTGACGGCAGCCATAGTGCGCCAGAACACTCACCACACATCAGCGATCAGTGGGGAGGAAAGCCAAGTAATTAAGCCAATTTATAGAGGGGGATTGTTAGGAGGCCATGATTGATAAAGGCCGATGGGAAATTTGGCCAGGATGCTGGGGTACAGCCCTCATCTTTTCGAGAAACACCCTGGCATTTTTAATGACCACAGAGAGTCAGGACCTCGGTTTTACGTCTCATCTGAAGGATGGCGCCTGTTTACAGTATAGTGTCCCCATCACTATACTGGGGCATTAGGACCCACATGAGCCACAGGGTGAGCACCCGCTGCTGGCCCCACTAACCCCTCTTCCAGGGGCAACCTTAGTTTTTCCCAGGAGGTCTCCCATCCAGGTACTGACCAGGCTCACACCTGCTTAGCTTCAGTGGGTTGCCAGTTGTGAGTTGCAGAGTGATATGGTTGTTGGCGGGTGATATAGCATCTTTGATGCTATACAAAGATGAGTCTTTGTATAGCATCAGAAGAACCCTGACAGAAACCGAACGCCTGCACATTCAGGACATGTGTACTGATGTCTGTAGACAAGGATGGCATTAAAATATGTGCTGCTATATTCTGAACAATCTCCAGTTATACTGATTGATTTTAAACACCAATAGTTACTGTACAAGTCATTAGGACATTTTGTCTGTTTTAGTTCTAAATCTTAGGATCTGTCTCTGCTGTCTAATTTATACTTTAAATAACTATAACTGTAATATTACTTTTCATTTAAAAAGTCATATCTATAAATATTACAGTTGTATAAACATTCTGATTTAGAACATTTTACACAAATATCTCTATTGCTGATGACAATTGTGAATATTTTTCTACATCTACCCATGGATGTTTATGAAATTTGGTACAACCTAATTTTCTCCAAATCTAACTGAGCACAAATTGAATGGAGAAATCTATGGGAGATATTTTTAATAAATCAAAAGACAAGTTAACATTTACGCTAGAACATGTAGAAATTGTGCAGTATTCATGCATGTGTGTTTCATCCCTCAGTTTGACTACTGTTCCTGGATGCCTAACGCCCCCCCACCATGACCCAACCTCCACCCTCCACGAAGCAGAACCTCCGCTTTTCTGAGCTCGTCCACAGTCTAGCTGACTGCAAGAGCTCCTTACTGAGCCTGATTCTGACCAGGACACTCAGCTTCTCTTACTCTCGCAATGTGAGTTTCTCCGTCGGCCACAGTGACATAAGCTGTTGAGACATTTTAATGTTGCCACATTCATTCGGGCTTTCTTTTGAAGCCTGAACCCATTAGATGTGAATATATATAGGTTTTCTATTATGAACTATCATTATATTCCATTATTATTTTTCATTTATTTTATCGTTATCAAGCAGAACAAATTCCAAAGGAAATTAAGATATTCCTGCTACAGTACCTCCCTCTCGGTTTAGACCACATTATGTCTTTACTACATGAGGAGCAGCCTCCAAGTCTGCCTTCTCCTATGGACCAGCTACAGGGTCAATGGCTGGTGGGGAGTTTGACAGGGTGCTAAATTGTAACACAGGTGTTACAGGGAAACACAAAACGCCCGTGGAGCAGAAGGGAAAAGGCTCTCTTGATACCAATATTCAGTTTGATTACAGACCATAGAAAGCCTTACGATCCTTTAGTTTTGGGGGAGTTTTTGGAGGAGTTGTCAAACAAGTTCACATAAAGATGGCTGATTTGCGGCTGCCAAGCATTCACGGTGACGTGACTTGTTGATCCTCCGATTCTGGATCTTCCGATCACAGGGAATTAACCAGACATCGCTCACCCCCTAACCGGCAACATGAACTGGGATTGGACACTCAGGAGACAGGTTATATCCTGCAGATAATGTGCTGCTGCAATAGTAATTTCACTCGGTACAAGATGAAACCATGGTTCAGACATTCTGTGCACTGGATGTGCTTGGCTGAGGAGACAGTGGCAAAGAGTGCAAAACAGCTTGACTGAATCCCCTGTGAAAGAAATGATGAGGCAGAGGGTGAGTGGGCTCCAGATTCTGGTTTCCAAAATGTTTTATAAATGATATGGGTCCACCAATGTTAGTGGAGGGAATATGGGGGATGCCAAACTAGAATGGGCATCTTCTTAGCTGCAGTCAGGGCAGCCAGCTAGAGTCATTTCTAGTTGAAGCGGATCAGCTTCAACAATCTGAAGTTCTACTGCCTGTTCGTGAGTGACCCCTACATCTGCTGACTTTCATTCCAACTGGGCCTGTAACTGATATGCTTGTGTGTTTAGTCCATGTTTGTGCGATTCGGTTTGCAGTCTTTGGTTTTAGAATTACTCTAAAGTACAGTAATCGATTTCAACAACTTCAGTCTAGAAAATATTACATGGCATTAACTTGCTAATAAAATATCTTATGCCTATTTTTTTTCTAAACAGACAGTTCTTAACAGTTCAAAATGACAAATTAGCATTCACACCCTGTTTTAATTTAGTGTACTTAAGTCCAATTCATTTGTAGGAATGATGACAATGCTGAATTAGCACAATTTCATCTATCTTCATTAAAGCTGAAAACAAGTTTAAAAATAAGATGATAGAAAACTGAAATCAGTTGGTATGTCTGTACCATATTGAATTTTAAACATACTGCCATAATAATCATGTTTTCCCATATTGCATACAACCTAAACCCTCACCTATGGATCATCCCATTTCAACCAATCAAACACCTTCTTAACTTTCAGGGAAATAGCAGAGCAGAGGGAGACAATGTCTGTAGCTGGATGCATGATGTAGACTGCAAGATTATCAGAGGCCAGATACTGTAAAGACTGTCTGGTCTTGGTCAGCTAATTTGGTCCTATACATCTGCTATCCATATAGTATGTTTAGTGCCTCAGCATAAAGCTTCACTTTTCTGGACACTCCACTCAAAGACCTTTACAGGTAATGGGGACTCCCCTCCCACCACTAACAATGTATAGCCCTACCTGGATGATGTGACGGCAGCCATCGTGCTCCAGTATGCTCACCACACATCAGCCATCATTGGGTAGGAGAGCAGAGCGATGAAGCCAGTTCAGAGATGCCATGATTGGTAAAGGCCAGGGGGAAATTTGGCCAGGACACCAGCGTAACACCCCTATTCATTTCAAGAAGTGCCTTGGGATTTTTAATGACCATGGAGAGTCAGGACCTTGGTTTTATGTCATCCAAAGGATGGCACCTTTTGTATTGCATGGTGTCGCCATCACTACACTGGGGCATTAGGAGCTTCAGTGGGTTGCCAGTTGTAAGTTGCAGGGTGACATAGCTGCTGACACTACATGGGTGTTTTTTCTGTTGCGAGTGTTTTTCTAAAGAAAGAAGTCTGGTATGCGTAATGTTAATGGATTCTGGAGTATACCTATTTGAAATGTGAATTCTTTGTTTGAAAGATACCACACTCAGATCACATATACAGTATACTGTAGTTTCTCAGTACTGTGGATGCCAGATGCTGTCTCCTTTTACGTCAATCACTATTCAAGACAGAATTCATATCTGCACCCTGGATAATATCAAAATCAGTGGCAGTCAGACAAGATATTAAAAACCCATAGGGATATAAACAGAAAAAAAAAATATTTTCTAAACACTAGTTTTCAGAAGCATCAAACTCCTTTATTCATCAATAACTTACAAATTCAAATACTGTATTACTTTGCAATGCAATTAAAGCTTTTTTTTGTTTGCTGCAGAAGATGTTGTCACATACACTGTAGTTACAATACTCAGTCAAAGCCATAAACATTTTAGATGAGACATCTGTGTGCAACTAATGCCCCCTAATGCCAAACAAAAACAAGAGTTTCCACGCCGAATAACAACATTTTTATCTTTAACTAAAACATAGTTATGTTCCACGTGACATTTGTGATTTAGGTCCAGCCTTTTAACTCATTACTGAAAAAGACGTATTTCAACATTGTTAATGTAAAACGAATAACTACTTTCCTTTCTCAGGGTAAACATGGAGAGTATCCAGAGAAGTACTTCACAGAGAAAAGACCTCAGTATCTGATTTAAAGGTTCCGATCTGACCTGGAGAAGATTGAAGATGAAATACAAACCCGCAATAAAAGCACTGAACTGATGTACTCTTACATGCTTCCATCGCTTGTGGCCAATAGTGTAGATATCTAAATGTCACCATCAGAGGTACAGTACCACCCAGAGTCTGCAGTCTTTGGCCGTGTCGCAGTGCTCACACTGCACCCTGACCCATTCAAGCCCGCACTTCAGTGACGTACTCAGGTGCGGACCTCAGTTGCGGGAGTATTGCAGGACTCACCGTTATAAACAGGGGGACGGGCCCCTCGCCTGATGTCACTGGCTGGGTACACGACGCAGGCTCAAAATGCTTCCTGTTGATGTTTCTTTTCCAATATTTAAAAAAAAAGGATTTGTCATTCTCCGCTCGCCGTTTGATAAAATTGAATGTCACCTCGTCTATCCCTGCGCAATAGTAGAGACACGTCGTGTTCATTCGTGTTGAACAGTGTGGCATTACGCGGGGGCGTGTTCAGCGTGGGGGCAAGGCCCTGGATTAATGGCGTGGTCTGGCTGTAGCAACCACAGTTGTTCTGGCTCATGAAGGACGAGTCGCCCTTCATCCAGGGCTCCGCCTCCACACTGAACACGCCCCCGCGTCATGTTTCTTTAAAGACGTTTTTAAACTCCAGAAATACAAAAAAGGAGACAGAATAATGAAATATATACAGGAATAGATACTTCACAGCCGGAGGAATTCACAATTGTAAAAGCTAAAAATTGTACTTTTTTATATATTTCCATTGTATGTCTTGCCTTTTGATTCTTTACATTTCTAATAGAGTTTAAATAAAAAAGGAATTCAACTTTTAAAGCATGAATAGAGGGAGCAGTATTTACTTTTGTGGATAAAGTATTTAGCCAAAATAATTAACAGATTGCCCCCGCGTAATGCCACACCAGGCTCGACTCAAAACTGCAGAAGTAAACTAAGGAAATCTTGGCTCTGTGTTTATTCAAAGCTGTGTACTACTAAATACATTTCATATCGTCTGTCCCAGTACCAAAATGACAGTGCAAGGAAAATAACGCATTCATTCGCTTTCATTCGAAGTAAACTAAATAAGGTAAACTTGGCAATACCTCAAACCTTTGGACTATTAAATATATTTTTTTATTTTTTTCTTTATTAACAGAATAACAAAAATTACAAAACAAACAAGAGTACATATAACAATTCAAGACAAAAAGATCGTCAGGGGTTCATATTACTCAGAAATTCAAGTTATGAAAAAAGATTAAGCAAATTAAATAAAAATAATGTCCCCACTGCTTTCATATTTTTGCACTTCGAAATGGTCTGTAAATATCCCCTTAAATCCATTTTAAAATGCTCAGAAAAAGGGTTCTTCCCAGACCACTTCATTTTATGTATATACTGTAAGAACGTGCCATTATAATAATTAAATTTATTACAAACGAAATTTTAATATTGTTTGTACTATTAAAAATGTGTACCGTTAAATATTCCATGTACAAAATACTGTAAATCGTAGGTAAACGAATATTCATCAGTCAGAATGGGGTGACAAAATAAAAGCTTTAAACCTTTTTTAAAAGCTTTTAAAAAGTTACATTTTACGAATGCATGAATATTGTTTAGAAATGGGACACCGTGAGAAAATGCAGACTTGAGCGAGAACGGCCGTATGACGGGCGCAAGGTTGCAAGTGTTTATACTGGGACAGGGCCTTGGTAGCTGTGTTTAATCTTAAATTCTTAGAAATGAGTATGAACAAAATATAGGGTGGTCATTTACAGTAAGCTCTTTGATGAGTCCTGGATATGTAGTGCAATACAGATAATAAAGCATTTTTGAAAATAAATGTGTATATTGTCTATGGTATAGATGTCTGTGTTGATCATTCACAAGTTGCGGAACCACACAGCAACTTGACTAGTGTTAAATCAACTCTAACAGAGTTCATTTTCACGCATTTTTGGTGTTTATATGGTTTCACACTCACCTGATTTAAATTAACAATAGTTTGAGCTCAAACACTCTGTATTTAACACTCTGTGTGTCATTTTCCGACCTCTCTCAGTATTATTTCAACACTTCTTCAATGATGAGCACAGTGTACAGTGCCAATATTAGGGTTAGAGAAAATATTGTAGCGTGGTGGGTTCGGTGAGGATTAATAACAGGAATTGTGGCTCGTTTGTCTAAGAAC